ATATATATATATATATTCTTACACATATATTTAATCGCTAATATCTATAATCTATATATTAGGAAATAAAATGTTATTAATTTTCCTTTTCATTAAACCAAGCTGTCGTTAAAGTTTACTCTCTTGACACTCTTGTGACGCAAGACATAATACAATACGAGTGCAAAGAGACTGTGGGATCGTGAAATTCGGCAATAATGCACATGTTCACAAATCGAAATAATATTTTGACAATTATTTTTTCAAACAATGCAAATTCCAATAAATAAAACACATCAAGAAAATTTGGATTGAGATTTTTCTCTTCCGAGAAAACTCGTAGCATTCAAGACTACATCGATTTATCGCAAAACAAAAGTTAAAAAATTTAAAAATTTTTTGAAGACTGAATTATTTTTTTTCTCAGCTTTTCTTCTCTTATACATATGTATCTCTGTATTTTATATACATTTATTTAAAACATTATTTTTTGAAAGATATATTTATTAATAGAACAATTTTTTATAATCACAGTGAACACGTAATACACACATACACATATGTGTGGAATTAATATTGTTATACTAATTAAAACTGTGACAAAATTTTCTCGTTGCGAATTAATATTTTACATTAGAAGAACTTTTCCAGTAAAGTACATATCGTTAATTTCCAAGAATAATTACGAAACTTCTATGGCGCACTCCATGATTCTCGCGCCACCCATTATTGTTTGAGCCTTACGTGATAAATAGAGGGACGCTAACAAGTTTTGTTGCAAACTTGCCGCAACAAAACGTCATTACGCCAAGTAGTCGATCATTATTTTCATCATTGAAGCAAGAAGTTGTTCATCATCGACCTGCTTTGATAATGACAAATGGATTATTCTGTAGTTAACGCGATATCACTTTGACAAGTTGCACTTTAAATCGAAATTTCATCAAATGTAATGTCCTTGCATTTAGCTCCGACTTTGCTTAATCAACGAGCAAATTCATTTTTAGGAAACAAAAATTTTGTAAATTAATAAACAAACTAATTTTATTGATAAATTTTGAAATTAAATTATTTTTAATCAATTTTGTTTATTATCGTTAATCTAAATATTATTAAGAAGAGAATAACGAGAGAACTATTCAGTTATAAAAATCAGTTACGAGGATAAAATTTACCCACATCATTACCCCATTTTTCATCAATCAACGCTCGGTGTCAAAGCATAGGATTCGCATGGATTCGGGCTAACTCTATACTGTCGTTCTAGATCTATCTAAATTAATTCTGCAGCATAATATTAAAGAGACGATGTATATACATATATAGTTATTTTATAAAGCTTTCATTATATAATTAATTTATCAATTTAGCAATTTGTCGATGAATATTCGGCAAACGTCATCATTGCGTATAATGATTTATATCGTTACTGATAGATTAGTCAATAGAAGAAAGCTATTAAAAAAGTGATATGTCAATGGTGCGTTGATGCATGGTTGCTACTGTCGCTACTACATTGCCAGTCGTTTCAGAGACCTCTTTTTCTGAGTATCGATTTATCCAACGTTTTTCCATGTAGTTGTGAATAACGCAACGCAAGTAATATCCACGACACATTTAATGCCGCTGCAAGACATCATGAAAAATTGCTATGGAAATCATCCCTCGAGTCACTCAAGCGCGTATAACGTATCCGAATATTTGTATTTATATCAGATTCAATGCGTTGAGTCGAATCCATTGAAAAACATTGCCGCGCAAACGATTCGCAGAGAACAGAAAATATTAGTTTCCGATATACAATGTTTGTGTGAGATTGCTCAATTTCACTCTCAAACATTGACATTTTTACATTTTACATTTTACCAAATAGACATATTAATTGTTACACCTAATGTTGTGCAAATCTGATATTGACTTTTATTACTTTATGGCGATTAATTTTGTAAAATGTATAAGCATCTTTTATATTTCTATATAAGTACACGTATACATATTGGTAGCTATTACATACATATCTACACGTATAATTATAATATATACATATACAATAGATATTCTTCTCTCGCGTAATAGACTTGTTTTATTCATATAATTATAACTTAAAAATTAATAGTTTCCTTCGCGACAACGGTCGAAGCAACGGAAACAGTTACGGCATGTTAACTACATTCTATTGTATGTGGTTTTCAGAAAATGCCAGTCGCTGGTGTTGGTCGAATGGAACCTGGGACAATTACTCCAATTATTCTATGTGTCGCGACGTGCGGTTACCAACCATCGAGCCCGGTATAGAAATCACGACTACACTATATTTCATCGGCTACAGCCTTTCCTTATTTACTCTAATAATGGCGGTCTGCATATTCATCTACTACAAGTGAGTTAAGAATACGCATCTGAAATTCTTCTTTATGCTACATTACTTTTTTTGAAAAGAATTAAGATGCGTCCCCAGTCAGAATTTCGGAAAAACAATACGACCAATCAGATTATATAAAGGCGCTAAATTGAATTATTTAACTCTCATAGCAAAGGGTCATATTTACACATCACAATAGAGTCACCATAGAAAGGCACTCTCTCACAACAAAAATAAATAACATTCTTGCATTTTGGCCTTTTGACAATTTTGACATTATCTTAAGGAAATTTACCTGTAATTGTTGAGCTTTTACAATATTACAATCTATTTTTATATTAAAAAGTTTACTTTAAATAATAATGTAACGATATCGAGTTTATATTACTATACATAAGTTAGAAGAGAGAGAGAGAGAGAGAGAGAGAGAGAGAGAGAGAGAGAGAGAGAGAGAGGAGGGGGGAGAGAGGGAGAGAGAGAGAGAGAGAATTACAAATGTTAAATAAAAGAATTTTCCTAATATTAGACATCATCAGATATTCTTACATTATTATTCTCTACATTTCTAATGTGGATTTTCAATTTGCTGCACTCTCATCGTTTACAATATCTATATCAGCATGGCACGTGTAAGGCCTCGGAGTAAATGGTCGAAACAGTATAAACGACGAAGTATACAGCGGACGAAGTATACACTTGAAATGCGTTCGAGGAAACGCTATTAGCATTATACATATTTATATTATTCTCTTTTCGTCATTTATTAATCGTAAAACATGGATAGAATGATACAAATAACATCTCCCCGAACGCACCTTTGGAATTCCATGCGTTAAATTCTGCTTATTGTTAATCGTTTCTATTTGTTTCATAATCGCTCCAAGCATCATACTAATCTAAGGGTGCTTTCTATTTGGTAACACAAGTCGGCACAAGCATCATTCTATTTTTCTCCAGTGAGCGTGAGTAAAAAAAATACAACAATAGATACAACAATACTTGTATCGACTTGTGTTACTAAATGGAAAAATTAAATTACCCTAAATTAAATCTATAGTACGAATATATTTCCTCAAGACTTATTCCATTCATGCCTCATATCTTTTCTATAGAGAATTACGATGTCTTAGGAACAACATACACACGAATCTAATGTTTACTTACATCCTGGCTGATTTGACGTGGATTTTAACTACTATAATGCAGGTAATGCATGTATATAGAAATCTTACTTGTATTTAAATGGTACTCTTAATTTTACGTCGTTAATATACATATATATATATATACACGCGCGCGCGTGTGTGTGTGTGTGTGTGTGTGTGTGTGTGTGTGTATGTATGATTAACAAATTATATTTAAAAAAATTTTTCTCGAAATTCCTTTATATAACAACTATAATTTTATGTGTGTGTGTGTGTGTGTGTGTGTGTGTGTGTGTGTGTGTGTGTGTGTGTGTGTTTTACGACGTTACGTTTATGAACTTTTTTGAATTCGAAAAATTTAATTAACATTGTGAATACACATTTTATTATGTTACTAACGGCATTTCATTATTAAAAATGTTAAAATTATTTTAAATCGCAAATCTTTGTCTTTATTTGTAACAATATATTAGTTAAATAAATGCTTTTTACGATTTCAAATTGCAAATAATTGAATGTTTAATAATGTGTCGAATTTAATTTAAAAATTCCTTTTCCCCTTTTGTTCTTTATTATTAACAATTTTAATGTATTAGATACCGTGCTGTGTGTTATTTTAAATTTAATGAAACGTTGCTTCCAGTTCGTCATATTGTATTATAATATTAATTCCATCGTTTGACTGTTCAAATTAGTTCACTAAAGAGCAAGAGAAAAAAATGATAAGAAAGAAAAGAAATGTAAAGAGAAATATGTAAATTTATTCATTCTTAATTATTAATAAATAAAAAGAATTATTTATTTTTATATTGTTATATAACACACGAATTGTTATCTTCATCAGTGATAAGATAATAGATACAAAATTGATTCGAAAACTTTCTAAGTTCCGTCGCGTGTGACATTAATATCCGTTATGTTATCAAGAACTAATTTTTCATTTTATGCACTTATATATAATATAAATCAGTTTAGTTTTCAACATTAAACATGAAAAGAAAAAGAGGAAGAAATGAAGAGAAAGAGAAAGAGAGAGAGAGAGAGAGAAAGAGAGAGGGAGGGGGGGGGAATGGAAAGGTAGGAATAACATTACTCTTTATTAATAGCTTAACGTAGAAATAAAATGAGCAGAATACTTAGTTATCTATATCGGATCAATTGATGGTTGGGTGTGTCCCTGAATATCGTAAAAATTTCCATCGTCTGCGCTCTTCCAAATTGCATGCGATTAAAAGTTGCATTTTATAATGCATTTTAATTTTAATGTTATAAATCTTCTTCATAAGTTCTGGAAAATTATTCGATTGTTAGACAAAAATTGGCAAAAAATGGATGCACATAATCTCGAAATAATATTTAGCTTAGTATCATCTGTCTGATAATGAATGTTCCTCTTATTAATATGAGTTTATATAATTTCCAGGTATCCATGCAAACGGATATACCTACTTGCGTGATATTATTCTCGCTTCTTCATTACTTTCATTTGACAAATTTTTTCTGGATGTTCATCGAAGGTGAGTTAGAAATATGGCAGACATGTTGTATCTACCTCTTACAAAGTACACAATATTGTTACTCTGAACTAGTATGAGAGAAGAAACATCGAGAACATTACTTGAGTTAGAAATATGGCAGACATATTGTATCTACCTCTTACAAAGTACACAATATTGTTACTCTGAACTAGTATGAGAGAAGAAACATCGAGAACATTACTTGTATTACTCAAAAATTTAAAACTAATAATTTAAAAAAATATCCGTGTACGAGTGTTAAAAAATATTTCAAGTATGCTCCAAATATTATTACGCGTTTATTCTTATTGTTTTATGTTTATAGGTCTATATCTATACTTATTAGTCGTGAAAACATTCACTGGTGACAATATCAAATTGAGACTCTGCTTAGTGATTGGCTGGGGTGAGTGAACTAATGACTCTAAAATCGCAGGAAAGAAAAGAGTTTTCGGGTCGACCACATAACAGCATTCTGTTTTAAAACTTTGTATTGATTATGTTTTAACAAATGATAATTAAACAAATAAATGATTAAACTAATAAAATATATATAATTAATAAATAAATCTAGGTATCCCGGTGCTTGTGATAGCCCTGTGGGGAATCGCCAAGTCGCTGGATCAGAAAATCATGAACCACATCATGAATCAACCTAACCAGGTATGAATTTAAATGAGAACGTCTCTCTGACGTTATCTGAATATGTATTTGACAGCGAATTTCCGTCTATCTGCGCGAAAAATCTTTCATTTCCTAATAGTAATGTGTAACAGGCTGATCAGATAGATCAGATAGATAGATCGAAAATATAAATATAATATGTATAAAATATCGAGCAAAATTTTTGTCACGTTTGCCTGTTAACGCCGTATCCAATACTTGACAAGGATAAAACGCGCAAGAAAAAGACAGAAATAATATACAGAAAAATATTAGACTTGTTTAACAAGTCTAATTTCTCATCATTCATTCGTGAAAAAAAACTTTCCATTGAATCACCCTGATGAAAATAAAAATCGGAATGTAAATCGGAGATGTAATGGGAGAGTAACAAAAGCATAAACGAAACTTCTAGAAGGCGAAATTTGAAATATCAAAATGAAAAATTGGAACAATGAAATGTAAAAGAAGCATTTCATTGTTCCAATTTTCACATTTTAATGTTTCAATTTTCGCCTTTATATCCGAATTACTCTCCGATTTTTATTTTCATCAAAGCACAGTAATTCATGTGTATAACAATCGAAAGATTAATCAATAACTTTGACTTACTTCGAAAACTTTGTTAAATTTGTCATCACTCTCTTGGAATTGAACATGTGTATATTGAATAAAAAGCTTCTCGGAACAGAATTCTGCAGTACACTAATAAATTCCTCTTATTTATAATTTTAAGCAAATTTTACTTAAACAGATTTATAACTTAAAATTTAGTTGCAAAAATACTAAATAATAACATGAATTGAGAGTTTGCAAATATATTTATATAATGTATTTTAAGACATGTTATGCACACAGAGAGAGAGAGAGAGAGAGAGAGAGAGAGAGAGAGAGAGAGAGAGAAAGAGAGAGAGAGAGAGAGAGAGAGAAATTGGAAAATGTTTGTATAAATATTAAGATGTCCATGTATGATGAGAGAATCGAATTTCCTATCTACTCTATCTTTATAATAATTACACGTACTTGTAGACCTCACAACATCATGCATTATAATTTATAATTATAAACTCGATGTTGGCAGGAAGTAGTACTTTGGAGACATTGCCCTTGGATGATACCGCATCCGTATGACTGGTTTTATCAAGCGTCCGCTGTAATAGTTCTAGCAATTAACATGATATTCCTTTTCATGATTATGCAGGTGAGTACATCGCTTGAATTAATCTTGAAATTACCTACTAGCTACTTATATTTTTATAATAATTCAGAGACCGAAAATTTATTCATTTAATTACTCCTCTACTTTATATGTACACACATGTACACGTGCGCGCACGTGTGTGTGTGTGTGTGTGTGTGTGTGTGTGTGTGTGTGTGTGTGTGTACACGCGTGTGTGTATGTTTACATTTTTTTTTAATTATTATTTAGCAGTAGTCTTATTAAGCGTTGACGCATTTGCTTCGTTAATAAAAAATAATGTCTTACAATATCAAGTGTGATAAAAAAAGATTAACACTATTTTTAATCATATTATTAATATCTTCTAAGAGGCCTATAAACCTCAATATTATTAAATTGCTTGTCAATTTAATTTGTAATTTTACTGCTCTAGTTCTTAAAACTGTTTCAAGACTGAAAATTAGATTCGACAGTTTGCAGAATTAGATATATAGTATATAAATTCACACGGATTTATAAACAATAAAGATCCACCTTTATTTTCGATTACACTATTGTGGTAAAAAATTTTGTTGTGGTAAAAATTTTAATAAATACTATTGTGGTAAAAAATATCTATTTGCATCAATTCAATTGATTTTCAAATATCCATACTCAATTACCTCGATAATAATTAAGCGATATAAATGTCGATTCTATTTCATCTAAGATGGGTGTCCTTTATATTCGAAATGAAAATTATAAACAATGCTACAGACATTTTGATGTCCGAGGCAGAAATAATTCACTTTTTAGTTATAAAAAAATATAAGTCATAGTAAAATTAGTGTGTATAATATGTACAATATATTAATATATATATATATA